CAGTCTGAACTTATTTGATCTCTGGTACCTGCCACAGGGACATTTCTCATTACCAGGTGCAGAGGAAATGCCCTATGGGTTTGGTGGGTGGGACTTCCTGTGTCATATTTTTTAACTATAATCTGTCGCTTCAACATAAATCCCTCAAAACTGGGTAGGGGAGGCTTTATAGGTAACGGTTTCCTGGAATGTGACTGAATGAATGTAGCCATTTGCCTCAACAATTCCAGCCGTTCCTGAAACTGAATGAATGTCAGTCACTGAGTTCTATTAGCCCCGCCCCTTGAGCATGTTCATTCATTTAATATGTCAGTGTAACTCTTTTAGTTCAACTCAGCCTGCTCCAAACAGGAACTGGACCAGTGTTTCCAGTATGGCTCATTTGTCAGTTGCACATCTTATTTGGGTTCTTCTCTGCTTGTTCTGAGTGGGATTCAAACCAACATCTCCAGTATGGTAAACTAATGAAGATGCTAAAACTGAACCCTCTAACATTAGTTGAGTGCAACTTGAGGACAGGGGAATGGGTTTTACCCAATCTTTTCTGCTTTCCACTACACCAATTTCCCTAAAATTCACTCCCAACTGGGAAACTCAACAACGTTACCCTTTGGTTCAACCTGCCCTTTTCCAAATGAGGAACTAACTGGCATTTTTGACATGGGAGGTAGATGATCTAATGAGAATGCATAAGACCCTAGCCTCATGTGTCTGTCACTTGTACCCCATGTTGCCTCAGGAGAGATGTTTTCTCACACAGCTCTTACTTTGTTCTCCATTACACTAACCATCTTAAACCCCACGTTTCTATTAATGCACCAATGTAACTCTTTAATTCTTCTCACCCATCAAGCATGATTCAAATAAAAGTTTCCCGCATGGGAAGCAGGCACACTAATTAGTATGGAACAGATTGCAGCCTCTTAAGTAAATAATGTGGTTTATGAGACCAAAAGAGAAAGGTGTACCTGCACTAGCTAGTCTCCATTACACTAGTCCAGGTCACAGCCCCAATGTCACACACTGGTTCTAATTCCCCAATTCTAAGTAGGAATTGAACTGTCTTTTTCAGAAGACAGCAGCCTCTAGCACCAGTCTAACATTAGAGTGCAACTTGAGGACAAGGGAATGGGTTTTACCCAAACTTTTCTGTTCTCCGCTACACCAGTTTCCCTAAAATTCACTCCCATCTGGGGCACTGCAACAACGTTACCCTTTGGTTCAACCTCCAATTTTTTAAATTGGAATCTAACTGGCATTTTTGACATGGGAGGTAGATGATCTAATGAGAATGCATAAGACCGTAGCCTCATGTGTCAGCCACTAGTACCACTTGAGGCCTCGGGAGAGATGTTTTCTCACACAGCGCTTACTTTGTTCTCCATTACACTAACCATCTTAAACATCACGTTTTTTATTATTGTACCAATGTAACCCTTTAATTTGCCCTCGGTCTTTCTGCAAATCAAAAGGTGATCGAGCTTTCTGTGTTGCAGCCCCAAGACTATGGAACAGTCTCCCATTGAACATCAGGATTTCTCCATCCTTGGATACTTTTAAATCTAACTTGAAGACATATTTTTACCCCCTTGCCTTTGAGTGACTCATACATGTAATTTTTATACTGTATTTTAGTATTACATATATACATATATTTCCTTTTCTTAAATTTTTATACAAGTTTTATTTTTTTATATTCTTAAATAATTCATCTCATTGTAAAGCACTTTGGATCAACTGCGATTGTATAAAATTGTGCTCTATAAATAAAGATTGCCTTGCCTTGCCTAATTCTACTCGCATGGGAAGCAGGCACACTAACAAGAATGCATTGCAGCCTCCCAAGTAACTAATGTGATTCTTGAGACCTAAAGAGTAAGGTTTATCTACACAGGTCTCCATTACACTAGTCCAGGTCACAGCACCAATGTCACCCACTGGTTCTAATCCCCTCATTCTTAGTGGGAACTGAACTGGCTTTTCCAGAAGACAGCATCCTCTAGCAGCAGTTACTGGTGTGGGCAAAAGTATCTAGATGCAGACTTGGATTTGCAAGCTAAAAATGCTTATATTAGAGATGTCAGACAGAATGCACTAGGGTAGGGTTAGGGGTACAAATTAAAAACCATTGCATGCAGCTCACCTTGTAACTGCACCAAGGCAGAAACACAAACTAGGACAAAATTTAAAATGCACTGCATGATTACAACATTTTTTTTTTGCCTTCCATTGACCTCTTGTTCTAAATATTTTTCCTATAAATTTTTTTTTTTGCTAAATCTACCTAACTACCTGTGGTGTAACTGTCTTAAGCATAGTTTCGTTACAACTCTTATAAATTAAAAAGAAAATCATAAATTACCTATGATTGGGTAGGACTTACGTGGCAGGTAGGTTGGTTTAAGGGTGTGGGGAGCTGCGGCAACTGGACATGCAGACATCAAGGATAATTTTTGTGACAATGTACTACAATAGTTACTGTTTTTTAATTACAGCAAAGGGAAGGTTTACAGTTGTGAATACATTAATAAAAGACAACAAGTTGGACATGCCAAGCACAAAACTTTAAATAAATCAATCAAAATCCCCAGGAAATTTATTTAAAGCTTCAGTCCCACTCATTTGGAGCTGACCTGCCTATTTAAAGCTGGCTTTACTTTCGCTTATACTGAACCCACCTACAAGATCAGTCGTTATTGCACCTCTTAAGGCCTGGAAAGTTTTTACTGACTGGTCTCCATCACACTCACAGTCATGTTTGGGTCACGGCACCAATGTAATCTGTTTGTATATTGCTAGCATTTCTGGTATGGGAGGTGGACAGTGCTGGGCACACTCAGTCATTAATGGACACTTAATTGAGTCCATTGAGTTTCTACAAAGCTCTAGCTTAATATTAAATCATAATATGTCAATTTAAAGTGCATAAATGACTTCAGTAGATACTTGCACAAACCCTATATACTGAAGAAAGTAAGAAGCAAGGATCCCATGTGGAGCCATTTTAGTCTTCTGTGGGCCTCTGGTTACAATATTACACTATCTAATCTTTGTTCTTTCCACCTTTTTACCATTTATGTAAAGAAAATGGCCTTCATACGTGGGAAAACGCGATATTATCTGTCTGAAGAGTCATTAGTCTGTCGAGTAGCATGTTGAACGGGTTAAGTGTGAGACTGCAGGGTTTAGGAAATGAGTAAAAGGCAGACAAACGTATGTAGTGTCACTGGTTCACCACTGGAAATAAGACGCACGCTCTGGCAGCTGGAAACCATTTGCTCCCTAAGATGCTTAGGAGTGGAAACACACACACACGCACACACGTAGACACACATACACACAGCTACTGTAGTTACATAACATAAAAGAGAGGTGAAGAGCAGACAGAAGCGCTATATATAACTTTTGAAAAGATCATTTGTTACTTAAAGTTGGCGACTTGGCGTTGAAAGTTTTCTAAACAGAAACTTGATCAGTTTTGCATTTGCAGGCTCCACGATGTTGCATGGATCCATAAGTAACTATTATATAATCAAATTTTAGGTAGGAATGTAAGTTGAGGTGTGTGTGGTCTTGTGTGGATTAGTTTAAAATGCAGGGCTGTTTACGAGCACTGCTGTTAGTTTGGGTATAATTACAGAGAGACGTCCTTCTGTGTGTGTGTGTGTGTGTGATTTGAGTCCAAACTGCAGTCTGTAATAACACATGCGTGCCGGGTTACTGCGAGTACAGTGATGCCATTTTGTATTATTAATGGCATTTAACTTCATTGCCTCCTTTTGGTCTTCGTTCTAGTAAAAATAAAAGTGCAGTGCTCATGACATGAACCGTACAGCAGACGCCTCGGGGGTACAAAGAACGAGTGTCTCCTTATTAAGACAATAATGACACCTAGTGTCGGTCTGAGGAACTGCATAGAAGTAAAGCATTTGACAGGATAGTTGCACAAAAGCCAGTATAATATACAGCATTGATAAATTATTTACCTCTGATCCTTCATTATGAATTCAAAATGTACATACATTTGTCAAGAAGAAAATTAATAATTATAACAAGTTGAATTTTAGGGAATTATATTTACCTTTATTTAATTTAAAATCTCAGAATTTCCGAAAAGCAGGCCAAATTTATAAATCCTACATGTGCGTTTCTAATAAAACAACATAATGTGAATATTTCTCTCAAAAATTGTAAAGAAATATAATTAAAAAAATAAATAAATAAACTCAATTTCAGAGAGTGGTGGTTGATCCATAGGCCCACAAGTGTAAGATATGAAAAAAAAAGAAATCTAGCTAAATATATTTTATTTAAATATTTAACTAATATAACTTCATAGTTAATAAACAAGGATATGTTTCCCCACCTAATGGTACTCCATACATACCTAGGCTCAAAAATGACCCAAACACACCATGTTTGGTTTCAAATTATTATATTTCTTTTAAAAAACATAGTAAAAAAACTTTACAAATTAAAATTTGGAGCATCATGTACATTGTTCCCTTTGCAGTTGAGAGAAATTTAAATATACTTCCAGATCAAAATTAATCTGAATGCATTTTGAGTGTTAAAATGATGCGTCAGATAATTTATTTTTTATAATTCTTTTCCTTCCTAAATAAAAATACACAAAATGAAACCAGATCAACTTCAGATTGTCTATGTTTCTTCATTAAAGACAAGAGGCAGTCAATTTAATTGTCACTTTCTAAAGCTGAAGAATCACCTAAGTTGTTTCGGCTATTAAGAAGATGTCAAACAATAACTGAAGAAAACAGAAGCGTATGCTGTTTAAATTTATTTGACCACTTGCATGACCAGAACACAAATGCTTTGGAGAAAACATAACAAAACACTGCCAATAAGTGCACAAGCAATTCATTTGTTATCAAACCACATGAACCAAAAAAAAAAAAAAAAAAAAAGAAAATTAATTACATTTACTATGTAAGCCATTGGCAAGTTCTAGACATCTAGTGTCTTCAATTGCAGTTGCTTTAGCATGACATGTGCAATTGCTGTTTTAGAAGGCTTTAAAGAGCTGGTTGGGTAGATAACCCAGATGAAGGAAGGAAGTTTGAGCCTCTCTCTCCAGGTTGGCCAGTTCCTGTACGGTCGGGGCCAAAATATCCACATGGCCCTTGTAAAGACCACCTGGTGTATGTGTATGAGAAACAGAGTTGAGTGACAGACATTAAGAAACTGCCCTATAAACAAGGACATCAGAAAGAAACTCACCTCCTGTGGCCCTGCGCTGGCCGTACGTCACTTTACCATCAAATTCATCCACAGGTACTTTAATGTCAGGTTCACACTGAGTAATAGTGCATTTCAGATGCTCCTCGATATCTGACAACAACTACAAATTGGGAAAAAAATCCTAAGTATAAAAAGTTCATTTGTTTGTGCGATCTTAGGCATGCTTACAATTCTCACCTCTTTTTCATTGTACCAAATAGTGCAGCCTCCATTCTCTTTGAGTCTGGTGTTATAGCAGCCTTTTCCTCTGCTGGCACAAACATGGTACCACACCTGTGTACATAAACACATGCACAAATGACATTTCTATACCACTAGAGCTGTAGAAAAAAATCGTTTAAGAAATCAATTCTCTCTTCTCACTATTCTCTTATAAATAGATTGTAAGCTTAGTTTTAAACAGCAGATGGTGCGTATTGGATGCTCTGCTTGCTTCCAATTCCTTAAAAACACCACTTGAACCTTAAATAATTTATAAAATACATCCAAGCGGTTGTTAACAGATTATTACATGACTGTTTGAAATACTTGATTCTGATTGGTCAGTCATGACATTCTTGGATAACAACTGTTCAAACTAGTAACACAGGCAGGGTACTGGGTACTTCGAATCCTTTTGACTGTTGGTGAAAACGTTCACATCCATATGTTTGTCTCCATTTCACTTACGGCTGCCGATAAGCCTGTTTACAACCGATTACAACCGCCTGAATGTACTTTATGCCTTACATAATGGCTAACAGGCTTATCAGCAGCCAAACGCAAAATAGAGCTTGAAGGGTTTTATTCTGTGAAAATAACGATGTAAGTTATTAAACTTATTACGCGGATACTTGCCACTAAAATGTAAAGATTAGTGACAAATAATGTTCTGAACCATGTTAGTTTATTAATTTTTTAATGAAATGCTAAGCTGACAAAAACTGAAATGGTTAAATGGAGCATACACTAACACACATAATATCAAAGCACAAGATGGCACCAAAAAGTCAAAAACAAGAGGCTTAGCAGACATGCATATTTATGGATGTGAACTGTTAATGATGGTAAAGTTGATTCAAAGTACCCCGATAAGCCTGTGTTATTAATTTCAGCAGTTGTTTTCTGGAAATAACATGCCTTGCAATGTTGTGACAGACCAACTAGACTCAAGTATGCCAGAGAGCCATGTAATAATAATTAATAAAGTTGGGAAAGGTTTAAGTGAATAACAAGAGTGCATTTACATTATTATTTTGACATAAAAGCCAACTTTCTAGACTGAGCTGAACACACAAGTGCTATTCCTGGAGATCATTTCAGTGTACAGTTAAACCTTGCCTCCATCTGCTCTGCTGTTAAAAACTAAACTCAAAATCTATTCAAGAGAGAATATCGATGCATTTTGAAAAACTCAGAATTGATTTTTTTGCCACAGCTCTATATGTAAAACTAGCTGTGCTTTACTTGCTGCTTACCTTCTCTTTCTCCATTGCAACCAGTGATATGGCCAAACCCATCCTGCAGTGACACAATCAATGAATGATTTAGTTTGATTCAGATGGTTGTTTTCATATTAAATGATAGAATATAGAATTGTGTCCATTACCTGTCTGCTCGGCCAACTCTTCCAATGCGATGAACATAGTTCTCCTTCTCATCTGGTAGAGTTACATTTATCACTGCAAAACATAATTTAAAAAATAAATTTTTTTGATAGCCTGGTAGTTTTTAAGTGAAATAATTTTACTAAGTCATTTCAAATTGCACCCTTAGTAAGAGTCTAAGTTAACTAAATCTAAAATCATAAGATGAAATAAGATTACCATAAGGAACACCACGGACATCAATTCCTCTAGCAGCCACATCTGTGCAAATCAGAAATTTCACCTCCTGTTTCTAAAGTGTGGATCGTAAAATAACACATTAAAATGACTGTAATTACTACAGTACATTTCTTTTTAGTATTGACATTTAAATCAGTTTAGTTTTTCCAGTTAAACTATTTTATGGTTTCCTTAATACACCATAATACCACAAAACACTGAACAATGTACAAAATGTTTAGTTTTCCAGTGAAATTACTTATTTGTTATTAATAATCAAGTTTGAACTGAGAAAAATAATGCTCAAAGTATTTAACATTATAGTTTTAATAACTTATTTCTAGCAACAATTTGTTTTTGTCTTTGCCAAGATGACAGTGGGATTATAGCAGTTTAAAGTGCAAATTAAAGGCGTAACTAGGCTAATTAAGCAAATTTGGCTAATTAGCCAAATCATTGGACAACAGTGGATTGGTCTGTAGCCAATCAAAAACAATAATTGCTCAAGGGGGCTAAAAGGTCAGTGTATCTTTTGGTCATTGGATTTTCATTTTAGAAATGGATATTGAAAAACAAGTCGTTTTTTGATTTTCGTTTTAAAATAAAAACAAAAATTAAATTTTAATGCTAATTTCAATGTATTTTAAAACGAAAAAAAAATGGCACGTTTTTCAGTTTCATGGTGAAAAACGGAAAATCAAAAAACGCACTGAATTTCAATTTTCTATTTTTTAATTTTACAAAGTTTTTTAATATCTGTTTCTAAAATGAAAATACAATGACCAAAAGATACACTGACCCTAATAATATTGACTAGTTATTAAATTTTTTTTAAATATTGTTTTTTTAAAACATTCTTCAGAATGAAAATATTCTAGGAAATACTGTGAAAGATTTCCTTTCTCTGGTAAACACCAGAAAACTTATGAAAAATAATTAATTTCACAGGAGGACTAACACTTTTTTCCTTGATTGTAAGTATGCATGCATTAACCTAAAAAGTGGTTAGTTAGGGTTACTGCATATAATTTACTGTTACTACTATGGTAATTACATGCAACAAGGATGCTGTAAAATAAAGTGCTACTTTATTAATTCAAAGTTAACTTTGTTTTCATTACCTTGAATCGCTCCAAATTATACTTGCGTTCATTTGGTTTTCTGTCGCCATGAAGGCATACACAAGAGAACTGGTGTCCTTTCTTATCTGGTCCTGCAGGAAAAGCTGACTGTTAAATGGAATGTTATGGCTGTTTATTAAAGATGCTAAAAGCTGGTGTGTCCACCTCACCTCCTCCTTGCTTGATGAAGTACTGCTCCATATTATCACAATCGATCTTTGTCCGGCAGAAGATGATGGCCTGATCCATCTTGTGCTCTTTAATGGCTCTGACTGTGTACTCCCCCTTTAGGATCTTAATAGCCTCAGACCACATCTCTGATAAAGCCATAAAACAACATTGCTTTATATCAGGGCAGATCAAGGTCCTTTTCAAATGTTTAGAATACAATAATCAGATTGTTACCTGGGCTGTTGGCTCCAGGTCGTGTGTCGTCCTTTGCATGAACTTCATCAGTCTGTGAAGAGTCATAAAAATCACAATTAAGATGTAAAAAAAAAAAAAAACAATAAATCTATATTTTATGATAAAAAAATCCTCAAATGTACTCAGATTCCACAAGTGTACACAAATGCATATCCTATTTTTGCATCCCAGCTCTGTTTGGACCTGGTCATAATATTTTTCACCTAAAACCATATTTTATCAAATCAGTCAAGTGAATGTCAAAAAAGATTTCAAAAGTTCACACTTAGCTGATGATTGATCATAAAGTGTGTTCGGCATGCTGTCCTGGGAGAGAGCCCAGAGCTCTCAAGATCCGAGCCCAGGGCTCCCTCCCGTTTTTAAGGTAAGAGCGTATGAGGTCAGATATATCTTGAGAACTCCCCTGCTAATTTATGGCTAATGACAAATAGGAATAGCTGATTAAGAGCTCATCAATGGTGCTAATTTGGTTTGGTCAGTTCACTTATGTCGCATGTGTTTGGACTGTGGGAGGAAACTGGAGAACCCGGGGAAACCCACACAAGCACGGGAAAACATGTAAACTCCATAGAGAAATGCCTACTGCCCAAGTAAGGATTTGAACCAATGACATTCTTGCTGTGAGGCAACAGTGCTAACCACTGGGCTGCCTTGCTGCCCAGTCAAAGAAAAGGAGGGAGGAGTAGGGGTGGAGGGGGGATTCTTCAAGACAAAGATATTGAGGTAAGAAACTGGTTATTTATAGTGAGTTAGGAATCATCCGATTGGTGAATCTTGCATAGCTTATGCAGGACCAGCTGTGGTCAATCATGAGCATGTGATCCTCGCGATATTAGTTTCTAAATAAACTTAAATGTTTCCATGTTTGACTGTATTCATCTAATTACATGTTTAAAAAATGTGTTGTGTAATCGATTACTTTTATTATTTTTCAAGAAAACTACATTAAACAAATAAAACACTATTGAAGTAAAAAAAAAATGTGTGAAAAAAGTGCTCAATTGTTGTTGTTGTTGTGCTGCAGTTATTAAATAGGCATACACATTCATAATTTTCCTCGAAAATAAAACATTTCAGATTCCCAAAAGTGTGTAAGATATGCAGAATTATTATTCATTTTCTGACACTAATATAACTTCAGATAATTTATTCAAAACTTCATTATACTTCATACATAATTAGCTGCAAATTTACCGGATGTGTAATGTGTAGTCTTTATGAAAAGTTATCTCTTATAAAAAAAAAAAAACTATTAATGATTAAAACATTTGCAAAGTTTACTGAAGCAGGTATATACAGGAATCAGAGTAAAATTCAATAATGTTTAAGACATTTTAAAAGACTCTTTCTATACATTTTAGGACCTCGTTATTACTTTGGGATTCAACCAATTACATTGCAGACATTTTAACTTACAGTATATTTACTAAATACTGAATGTAAGAAGCTAAACCCGGTTATTTCCCGCTAACATGGAAGCGCCGCTGAGCGCGGATGACTCGTGAGTCTCCGTGTATCTGTGTTTGGTTTGCACTCAGTTTACCGCTTTTCACCCAGTGCAAACACAGATACACAAACTGGAGCGCGAAGCAGCCGTCAAGATCAGTCGAGTCATCAAGCAGATCCCTCGGCTCGTCTGTGTTTGTGCTCAGTATACAGCGGTAGGTGAACTGATGACCTTCTCGGCCAATCACAATCATTTCTGTTGAACACGTGAACGCAGTGGCAAATCAGCGCTGTTTTAAGAAAGGCATCAACATTGCCTTAAATGTTAGCGTTAAATGTTATTGCCGGTTTTTCTTTTAATTCAGTATCGTGACAAGTCTAATACAGTAAAAGAATCAGTTTATCAACTCGAGTTTGATAAATGGCATCTAAAACGTGTGTTTGGGAAACAAAACGTTTGCTAACTAGTGCCATTTCCCTTAATGTAGCTAAAAATTAGCTCTGATATGCCTTTTTACATTCACCATTCATTCAGAACGGACCTTCAGGTCACCTGGAAGGCGGAGAAATGATAAATTTGAGTCACTTTATCTTCGCTGATAAGATATACAGCCAGGTACACAACATTCCTATATGACTCCCAATGATACTTCCGGGTTTCTTCCCACCGCAGCCTCGATTTCGTTTTTGAAAATGGCGGCCGCATGAAATCAGTCTATAGAACTGCATGAACAACGATGTTGCCTTGGTTGCTGCAGTAAACAAATCAGCACCATGTCAAATCTAGCTGGATTTTCTCGATTTCATAAACCACACAGCATTTCAATATTCGCAGATTAATTTCAGGCAGAGACAGCACGGTGGCTCAGTGGTTGGCACTGTTGCCTCACAGCAAGAAGGTCGCTGATTTGAGCTTTGGTTGGGCCAGTTGCTGTATCTGTGTGCATGTTCTCTCGGTTTTGGCATAGGTTTCCTCTGGGTGCTCTGATTTCCCTCACAGTCCAAAGACATGCGGTATAGGTGAATTGAATAAGCTAAATTGGCCCAAGTATATGTGTGTGTGTATTAATGTTTCCCAGTGCTGGGATGCGGCTAGAAGGGCATCCGTTGCATAAAACAGATGTTGGATAAGTTGGCGGTTGATATGTAAACATATTATGATCATAAAATATATGCACCCTTATGTGGTTCTTCCCCAGTCTCTCCCAAAGCTTGTCGTTTTTTGGGTTGACTGTCACCACCACATGATGGACAGTTTCTGGTACAGAATCTTCTCCCTTCAGATCCACCCATGTGGGGAAATGCATGATCTTCTCTGAGAGCTTCTTCACGTCAAATGAGTGCAGCGTAGCAGAACAAACAATCACCTACAACACAAACACAGGTTCAGTCATGAGAAACTGCAGATCTGACAGCTCTTCAGAAAGCAGAACTGTAGAGCTGGGATGACCTGTAGTCTCTTGCCGTCTGAGGTGACCTGAGGGATTTGGTTGTAGATCCTCATGATGAAGTCAGTATTGCCGGCCGACAGGAGCCCGTCCTGAACACATTTATTCAGTCAGAAATTATTTGGTTGGAATACAGCAAAAATGGTTCATAGAAAATGTGAAATATTAATCAAAAGCAACTTTTATTCAATCAGAAAACTTTTAAAACCACTATTAAATCATTAATATTTAAAACAATTTAAAATAATATAAATAATTATTTTATTTTATTATTTATCATAATTATTATTTAATATTTAAAATAATTTAAATACTTGTATGATAATTAATTATTAATAATAAAATGACTAATTTGTAATTAATGTATTCTTTGAATAGAAAATAAAAACATAAATATTTGTTAATAATTTTAAGTCTTTTACTTCTACTTTTATTAAGAAAAGAAGCATAAAATTTATCAAAAAGCAACATATTGCTTTAGTCAGAAATTATATATATTTTTACTACAAATACACCAAAAGGAATTTATTAATTATGAATAAAATTATTAGTTTGTAATTTATTTAAATTAAAAATAAAAAATAGTTTGTAAAAATAAACCTTTTGTAACATTATAAATATCTCTTACTGATACTTTTCACAAACTATAGTTTTTTGTTTTACAGTAAATACCTTTTAATACACATTTAACTTACAGGGTTGATTTTAGTGAATGCTTAGACCATGTTTGGTTAAAGATACACATACAAACTGTAGTAAATCTGACATGCTGCCGATAGAATTTGCATTTATGCCAAAGTATTCTTTAATGTTAAACTGTAAAGCATTGCATAAATAGAAGCGTTCGACATACACACTCATCCAGCACCAGGAAACGGACTTGGGAAAGATCCAGCTTTCCTGTGGATATGAGATCATCCAGTCTGCCTGGGGTGCCGACCACAATGTCAACCTTAAAGAACAAAGTGATTTAAACAAACAATTTAAAAAATAAGTATAAATTCAGTATTTCGGTCTCTGTATTATCGTCTGAATATGTATAGTCCAAACCCTCAATGTATGGTCACAATTTTCATTTATTCAGAATGAGGCCATTATGTGTCAAGAATATTTCAGTAAAATGATCTGTGAAGTTATATACATTTTTGCAACAAACCCAACAAAAATGCAATTTCTGTATGATTCAAATGATTGCAATCCTTTTATTAATCAAACATCGCTGTATATGCGTATTTTCTGTTCAATTAAAGCGTAGGAAGCGAGGTGAGGCAGCACCAAGCTGTGCCTCACGTCAGATTGCCTTGCACACTGGGTTGAACGTAAGCCTTTTGCTTACTCGGTGTATGTTACCAGTGTAATGCTTTATTGAAATGTTTTTATACATTGTAGACATTTTTATTGTATGCCCTCACTTTGCATATGATAGGTAAAGTATTTCACATATGTCTATCACATATTTAGTGTTAGGATCTGACATAAAGCCGCACTGAAAAGACATGGGGTGAGGCAGGCAGTAGCTCTGCAGCAATGAAGTGGGCACACCTGAGCTCACAGTTATTCTTGTTTAGTAGTTGCTCTTCTTACACGCAGGAGTAATTTATGTTTTGCTCTGACAGACTGCAAAAATCAAGGATGTAATGTTAATATCTCAGCTCAAAATCTTCTTAAAATTGGCTTTTTTAATCAAAACGTAAATAAATAATGGACAAGCAATGCCGGAGCTAAAGGGCTTGCTTTAAAGGACAGGACAGAAGATAACTCAATCATTTCAAGTCATTCAAGACATCATTTAAGTGAGAGAGAAAGTGAGAGAGAAAGAGAGAGAGAGAGAGAGAGAGAGAGAGAGAGAGAGAGAGAAAGAGAGAGAGAGAGAGAGAGAGAGAGAGAGAGAGAGAGAGAAAGAGAGAGAGAGAGAGAAAGCTAGCGCATCTGCTGTGATGCAGTGTTGCTTGTTACAGGCCGTCTGTAGCATCCACCTTGGTGTTTTTTTAGGAGGCATATTAAATAGCTATACATTTTACATTCTTCCTTGGCCCAATATGTACCAGCCATGTGTATAGAAAGAATGCTGATATGATATATGAAACACAATCGGTAGTTGGCAAATATATTAGGTGCATATATGTTTAAATATAACCCTGAAAGAGTCGTGCCTTACCAACCACAAACCTCAGCACACGTCACTGCCATACAGTATGTACATGTAGTTAATTAACATTACTCAGTAGTTAACCAGCTCCAAAATGCTGCGTTGCATGTCTACATTTATGAATAGATTTAATCAAATAGAAACTGAAACTGAACACTGTAACAAGGACAACTTAAAATAAACTGTAACCAACTATTTTCATTATAAACAATCAATAACAAACTCAGACATCAACAGACACTCACCCCGCTTTCTAAAACATTGAGCTGTTCTTTGGCAGCCACTCCTCCAATAATCAGAAGTTCTCTGCAAAAGACATCAGATCATACACTGTGATAAAGCCAAACTTCTCAGTTGATGCTACAATAATGAAAGTCTCACCCCTGTCACTCTCTGCTCACCTAAGTTTAGGGTTATCCACATACTTCTTGAACTGATTGACATTATTGAGGGTTTGTTCAGCCAGTTCTTTAGACGGCTCGATGATAAGAGCTCTGGGGGCGTTGGAGCTAGATTTGACCTGAGTCACTTTAGCACTACCTGAGGACAAAAAGAAAAAAAAAAACATGCAGACAGAACGTGAGGAAACATTAAGACAAGCCCTGCAGGCAGAAACAAGTGAGTGCTATTTGAAGCTCACCTGTCTGGCTGGATTTGACCACATGACCTTCTGGAGCCTGGTTCAGGGCCACATATCCGTCTTTGGGTTGGTGTTTGAAAGCTTCATCGCCAAAGTTGAATTTCAGTTCAGCATTCTACATTTGATGGAGACAAAAACATCTTTTAATAACAGATGGTGTGTAAGAGAAATGTTATGTAGCAATCTTGGAAATGAAGGAGAAGTGTGTTTGTGTGAGAGATACCTTTAACACACAGGAAGCAAAAAACGGCTGGCTTCTCAGCTGCTGAGGGATTTCAAAAGCCAAACCCAGATCATTGCCTGTGAAAGTCAATCAAATATTAATCACAGTGGCTTCTATTTGTATTACAGTTGATACTGCGATATTAAACTTTTATAAAGGTTTACTGATGTGCAAAAGTTTGGGTTAAGAGTCCAGTAAAATAAGTGTCTTGCTCACCAAGGGTTCATTTATCAACACAATACAGTAAATAAAATGTATAAATGATCAAACATATATTTTATACATAATTGACACATACTGTACTTTCATACTTTTTTATTTATGTATTTTCCAAATATTTATTTGTAATTGTAATTTCATTTTGTTTATGGGGGAAGGGTTGGGAAAACTATTTATTTTGATTTTTCTGTAAAACTATCTTGCTATTTCTATAAAAGTTTAACAAACAAACAACAGCAACGTGGATGTTTATTACAATTTTAATTAAATGTTTGCTGTTTTAATGGGACATTCTACTAGAAATGTACATTTTCACTTGTAAAAACATGACAGGGCCTGACTTAAGCTTGTTGTCCTCAAAAAAAAAAAAAAAAGTAAAAATTCAACAAAACAAGCATAAAGTCAAACAATTCAACGATAGAGCACATCCTTGATCCCTGTAAGCTTCTTCTCTATCAAATGATGTCACTTCCTAGTCATAGCCTTAAAGATGTATTGCATGCCTTGTCTTGTTTGTTAAATTTAATGCAAATGTGACAGGACTGACAGAAACATGGGGCCAATTGTAAATTAATTTGTATGGTATTTTTGTTGTATTCATTTGTAGAATTTATTTAGAATCTCCTGTTTTTAATCAATTGTTGTAAATAACAAAATAAAAACTCAGTATTTCTAAAGTTATTTTTCTAAAAAACAGTTTTTAGCATAACAAAACTATTAAAGCTGAAGGTATAATTGGTCTGAGAACAAGAACGATGACAGGGTTTGTACATTTGTAAAGTGTTTTTGCTAAAGAACAAAAATCTGAGAACCAATTAACAGAACAACTGACAGAAATCAACCATCAGTCCATTTAGACATTTTTGGGATTAAATCATTTTTATTCACTGTATTTATGTTTTTATTTTAGGGACAGATAATTTATGTTTCTGGTATAATGACCCTAATACATTTTAAATGTACTTCATGTACATTTATTCATGTGATGTCAAAACTTTATTTCCATAAAGATGTACTGTTATTATTATCATCATCAAACAGAATTCTGGTTCATGTCATGATTGAGTGTAATTTTTTCCATATAATAATAAGTAAATATAGAAAAAGTATGTGGTGTCAATTTAACCTAAATAAACATTTGCAGTTTGATATGCTTTCTCTCTCTATTACATAATGACTATCTATATCATACTCTGCCTGTGTCTGTCTGTATCTATCTGTCGGTCGGTCGGTCTGTCTGTCTGTCTGTCTGTCTGTCTGTTACTTTTATGAATTATCTGTATCTGGTATTCAGTAGTGTGCTTAACTCTGTAATTTTCTAAATTAATATAAATGATCTGAATACCATCTCTAACTCTGCATAGCTCTACATAGTGGCAGAGTGCAACAAGAGACTGAATTTTGAAAAGAAAAAGTTTTATTTACTAAAACTAAACAGAACCCTACCATTTTTGGAGAATGACACATGGCCTTTTTCCAGATCTATGTAGCATCCGATAGTGTCGTGCATTGTGAACTCCTGAGGGGGTAAAATTAAATCATTATCAACGTACTAAAATTTGAGTCAAATAAAATGCCTCTGTTATATCGTACTTCTCCATAACTATCAAACTGCTTATTGTGAGATTTCTTTCCAGTTCCTCCAAAGCCAAATCCATATTTATCAGTTCCTAAGAAAGAGGAAAACAGAATAAAAAACAATACATTTACTAAAGGGATGACATAACTAGATCATTGAATTAGTAGATCATAGAAATGAGATCATGATGAAACATACCCAAGTCCAGTGATGCCTGGGCAGTGGACCAGCCCACCCTGCACAGCCCTTGATCGTGACAGGCAACTTCATAATAATACCTCCCTAGGGGGGAAAGTAATGTAAAATAACTTTTCAGGACTAGACAAAAAAAAATTTTTTTTTTAAAATATATCTATTTTAAACCTTTTGTGACCGCTTTGGTGGTACGACAGCCATGCCATTCTTTGAACTCCCTGCTCTGACAGCACAAGCCATCTGATCCAATAGCTGAAAAATAATACATACTGTAACAGTTATGTTGCAACATAACTAGGAAGTATCCACATGAAGAGTTTAAAGTCAAACTAAGCCTTTCCCATATAAGTGCCAACACTTACCAAATGCTGTACTTCTATCAAAGGGGTTCATCTGCCATTTACTGAAAACTGTAGTGAACAAGAAATCCAAATTTATCAATAATTATAAGATCATTTATTTGCTTTTATTCTGTTTTAAAATAAATAAAATAAAAACATACTGTATGAATTTTTAATCAACATGCAATATCTAGCACATTGAGCGTTATGTCGCTTTGCTTGTAGCTTTGAACAATTGATAAGTATTATTTGCATATAAACTATAGTACACTATAGTATTTATTTATAAACAATTTATTTTTGTAATTTTATTTTTGTGTATATTTTTATTTAACTTTTTTTTGTTTTAGTAATTGTTATGGTCCTGTTTTAATTCATTTCAGCTTTATTAGAATTAGTTAAAATGTTAAATGATGTTAGGTCAGCCTTTATGCATTTAAGCATTTATGACTGATTAAATATCAATGCAAACTATATACACAAACATAAATGAGTTTAATGACATAAATACAGAAGAAAGTTTAATACCTGCTCCTCCTGTCTTTACCGCGCTGCGTCCTTTTTTTCCCTCCTGCAGGTCCTTGATGGTTTCATAGACTATTTGGATGACTGGAATACTGAAGGCCTACAAGACAACATTAATGTTTTATAATCGAATTTCACTGTTTCCTTACATATCAACAAATAAAAAATACAGCTCTGATATGTAGCATTTTTATCACCCCCACTGAAAAAAGCAACCTCCACCTCCTTTAACTAGAACATTAATCAAGAGACAAAGCTGAAACTGTGATCCTTGGTGATTTATGAAAAATGTATTAATAGTCAATGGCTACGAGCACTGTTTTCCATCTCTGTCATAAATAACGTTCAGTTTCTTGCACAGTTTTTTTTGCTTCATAAGGCATCAATGTATTAGCATGGGGCACGAGTACTATTTATTTATTTTTTTTGCTTTCAAAGTGCTTGTAGCTTTTCCCTTGGAAGGACAAAGGACAACAGCTAAAATTAGGGCTGCACAATATACCATTTCAGCATCAATATTGCAATGTGCGATTGTGCAATAGCCACATCGTCGCATCTGCAATGTCATTTTGTGCATAAAACAACATGACCAACAACATGACCTAATCTAACAGGTTCTAACGATGTGAAAGACTTTCATTTTATTGTGATTTTAAGGCCTGTGACTAAGATTTCAAGCTAATTTAAACTATTTTGGGCACAAGAAATTATAAAGTTTACAACTTTAACAAAGATGATTTGTGTTTACTTATCTATACAATAAAGAAGTGTTAATTTACATTTGATTATTGCTTGTTGAACCTCAATGCTAAGCCTGCAATGACTTCACCGGAAACCATGAAGCACTGTTTATTTATTTTTTATCTTTGTTGTATTGTTTTCATCTATGCATTGTTACTATGTACAGCATATTTTATGTAGATGCACTCTGAATACCAATCAATGTAAAATGATGAATTCTTTAATACATAGCAATGTCAGTTTTTTTTCCCCAAATCGTGCAGCCCTAGCTAAAATCACACATGTTCAGTTATAAATGGGTAAAAGTAACACTATAGTTCAAGCTCTAACTAGTGGCTTATTATTTGCCTATTGTTAAAATACTGGATGTTTATTAGAACTTATAAAGTGCATATTTTGCATGATCTTATTCTTCATTTCTAATCCTACCCAATCCCACATACCTAACAAGTACCTTAACAATTATTAATAAGCAGCAAATTAGGACTTCATTGAGTCATAGTTAGTTTGTCAACAGCAACAAGTGTACCTTTAAATAAAGAGACCAAAAACAAATGTCCCATACTTACTCCAGTTTTTCCGCTTCCAGTCTCAGCAGCCTACAAAAGATGTAAATGCATGGTAAACAGCTTTTATACTCATAAAACAGTTATATATGATTTTTATGTAAAAGTTGGTTTTATGTTCAGGGATTTGGGCTCTCAATATAATATAATTATTATAATATAATATATATTTTAGAAAAATATTCTTTGCAAATTCTAAATAGGGAAATTACATAAGCAGCCAATGACCATTAAAGTACAACATTGTTCTGTCACATAGTTGTTAGTTATTTATTATAGTCATACTTACATGCGACTTCAGACTGAATATCCAAAGTACCATGGTAAACCATATAGGGACGGTTGTCACTGAATGAATGTGCGAATATAAACCCAACTCTACCTCATTGATTTGCAATGCATATCAGATCTCACCATGAGCACGTCTCCTCCACCCAGAATCAGTGGAATGGATTCGGCCTGAATGTCCGTTGGCAACCTAAAAGTGACCATCAAACCGTCATCTACTTAATTTATACAAGCATAACAAATATATTAATAATACACATTATGATGTAAGATCATTAGAACTCACAGCCAGTCCATTTCTTCCACCGCCTGTGCAATTTCTGGCATCACTCCCATTTCTGTAAGGCAAAACAATAAGATATAGGTTCACAGACATTCGGCGTTTTATTAAATCCTTATTCTTATAGGTCTCACAAATACGTTGACAGATAAATCTCACCGCCGAATGCTGCCATGGTGTCAAACTCCTGCGAGCCTCTTCACCGGAAGTGGCGTAAGCTAGTTTTGACAGGGTACAAGTTAGAAACGACCCGTGCGGAACACGCTTTCCCGCATCTGTTCCGCTTATCTTATTTTAATAATAGGAAACGTAGACTGTTTATTGTAGCGTCTTTCGCGACAAATAAATAAATATAACAAAATTAGTTAGAGATACTATAACAAAACAACCTACGGAGAACCCGAAGCATTAAATACAAGCATAAGCAGTCTTTTTATTTGTACCTCGCAGGCCGCCGTAGTTTGACGTGTGCGCTCTCTAACGTTAGTTCATTGAAAACATGGCAGGTGATATTATTCTAGAAGACGAGGAGGAGAACATTTTATATGATTTACTTGTTAACACGGAATGGCCGCCCGAAACAGACACTCAGGTTTGTGAAAATACGCTTACGTTATTTGAATAAGTTATTATTATTGGAATATCCGCATGCTTTTAATTAAACCGTTTCTGCGCAAGTAGTTTTGAGCCACGTATCCAAGTTCATCATCACCCAGGGTTTATAGACAGTGTGTTTTTTAATGTTCTAAATAGCTCTATGGTGGTTTAAAGCTTTTCATATGCGGTATTTATTTGCATGTTTGTTGTTTTGCTGAGCTGTTGCTAGTTGTCGCGTTTCAACTGTTCAGTTAACAGACTGTTGACAACTGGTTTATACAAATATTACATGAGTGTGTTTTATTTTCAGCTGCGTGGACTGAAGGAACACAACTCTTCACTGGTTGCAAAAGCCGTGACAGGTAAAGAGATGTACAGTAATACATTATGACTGCAATATATGCCAAAGTTATTGTCATTATTGAATATGTCTGAAAAGTTGAATAAAACGTGACTATAATTGCCAGTGTTGTCTAGGTAGGCCGCTCGCATGTGTTTGAGGCAGTCGTCATTTCACTTTGCAGAGAACATGTGTTTCAATATGAGTGTTTATTTGGCTTACAGGTTTACTGAAGATTAGATAAACTTCTTTGGGATAAGTGTGCTAATCACATCTTTAGTGGTTTTACATTTTGCAGACTTGATCAAGTTGCTTGTACAGTAAACTTGTTTGTTGAGTCAGATTAATTGTGATTTTAAGGTGGTATGCTGGGAATTGCTGTATTTTTCGTTGCATGAGAAGTACTTTATCATTTTGTATTTCATTTTGAGAAAAAAAAAACTCAATATAATGATTTTTTGTTAGGTTTTTATAGCATTAAATAAAATAAATGTGATTATACAAAAGTGTTAATTTATATTGTGCTGCACTGTGATCTTTTTATATATTATATATTTGGTTCTTAATCTTTTTACATCAAGTACCACCTTAAAAAATATCTCTCCAAGTACCACCATAATGACTGGTATTGAAGTGCAGTAGCATAGTAGGCCTAAATATGCAGCTACAGCTCTGCACAGTTTAAAAATGTGGCAGATTAATTCTGATTATTATTGTTATTATTACAAATATTTGTTATTGTCAGCCATAATAAATATACCATTATAATAAATATATCAAATATAAACCATTATGAGTAGCTTGAACATGATCACTGTACTGTGTGCTTACAGGTAAAATAAATAAATAAAATGCCAACATTTAAATTAAAATGTGCTTTTAAAAGTAAATTAAAATTGCACTGTTCTTAAAAGTAAAAAGAAAACTGCTGTATTTAAATGTAAAGTATTAACATATAGTAGCCTATATAAGCTACATGTCATCATATTGATATAAGCTATATGTCATCATATTGATAAATAAACTCTTTGTTAAACTCTTAACTTGTATTTTAAATATATACATTTGATTTACATATTTAAGTTAGAAACTAGATCTGCTTACTGTATGTTAGCATGGGCTTTGTGTGTCAGAAAAGCAAGTGATTACACTGTACCTGTCAACATTGGAAAATAAAAATACGAGATACACCCCCAACAACCGATACAAATATGGAAGGAAATTAGCTTCAAATGATAGAATACACAACAAACATTGGAAAATTGAAATTAAAATAAAGGTTTAGCCTATTAAAATCAATTTACTGATCAGTGTTATGATACATGTCAGTGTTATCGTACGTGTTAAAGGGTTAAAAGTGTGTTCATTTTTTTACTTTAATTATTCAGCGATTCCTCTGTGTACCACTAGAATGAAGCCTGCGTACCACTACTGTTATACGTACCATAGTTAGAGAAGCACAGTATTATATGTTACTGCTTGTACTTATGTATATACAGTAGTGGATTTATACATCATCAAATGATTCTTATAATATTGCAGACAAGATTTAATTAAAAAATAAATAAAAAGTGTTTCTTAGAATAATTTAATGTTTTTGGTTTTTACTTATCTTTGTGTTTTTGTCTTTTTTGTGTTCTATTGCCGTTGTTATTATTGTTAACTTAAACACAAACAAATAAACAAACAAACAAACAAACAAACAAACAACCAAGCAAACAAACCAAAGTGAAATAAATAAGATGCCAAACAAAACATTTTTAGCAATTTGAACTGATATTAGGTAAAATAAATAAATTAATACAAAAAAATACAATCCATTTAGCACAACTATCACCTTCAATTTAAATGTTGTTATCATCATCATAATGATATATGTTTGATTACATTTACGACACTTATCTACTCCATTCATTCATTCATTCATTCATTTTCTTTTTGGCTTAGTCCCTTTATTAATCAGGAGTCGCCACAGCAGATTGAACCGCCAACTTATTCAGCATATGTTTTACGCTGTGGATTCGCTTCCAGCTGCAACCTAACACTAGGAAACACCCATACACTATAGCCTATTTAACTTATTTAATTCACCCGTAACACATGTCTTTGGACTGTGGGGGAAATTGGAGCACCCAGAGGAAACCCACGCGAACATGGGGAGAACATGCAAACTCCACACAACTGACCTATCCGGGGCTCGAACCAATGACCTTCTTGCTGTAAAGCGATCGTGCTACCTACTGCGCCACATTGCACCACTTATACTCTTCTCACTGCATTTAAAAAAGTACTTTATCTGCATAGAAGAGTTCATTCTTGCAATTAAATTAATAACAATATTATTCTAATAATGGAAAAACATTTTTATTTATTTTTTTATCAAAAGCAACCTTTACGTAGTACACCAGAGTCAGACAGGTTCTGGTATGTTTTATTGTTTCAGAATAATTTAAATACTGATGGTCATATATCCTGTTTCTGAGGAAATTATTTGACATTGACAGGTGTTTTTTTTTCTCCTGAAGCAGGTTGTATTAGCGTCTAGCATCAACAGAGAAACAAAATGGCTACTGACTGCATATGCTTTGTAAAAGAAATAGCTAAAATGCCAAGACCAGTTTAATGTAGAATTAATCTGAATTTTGCAAATGTTTGCATACTTGCTAGCTTACTAAACATTAGCATATTTGTTGGTTGTTTGTTGTGTTTTTCTGTTTATTCAGTTATTGTCAGTTGGCAATTAGCAGTTTTTTATTGCCACTGTCACGTTAAATCAGTCCGGCAAATTAATGTCTGGAATCTGTTTGCTTAAAGTTAAAAAGATTTTGATTGCTGTTTAATGTCTAATGGTGTTGACTGTAAGGGAAAGCTAGATAAGAAGCTATTTTTAACGTAAAAGGTGTACAAAGTGTAAACAGTTTTTTTTTGTTCCACTTTTGATGAACCAATGAAAATCCCTAAATAATATGGGGTTAGCGTCATTTAATATATCATCCTCAAGGAGTTTATCCAGTAAACTTGCATGTCAAATAAAGAAAGTTTAATTAATCTTTTATTTTAATTGCTGTATTTGAGTTTGTATTTGAAGTTTTAGTTAACAATAAGAAACCTGGTTATATTTCTGGGGTCCGTTCTACGTACGTGGATTACTCAGTTAGCTGGATTTGGATATTGACGATTTGACACGATCCAGGATCGTTTCGTTCTTCAAAGCTGATCCGAGAGTTGTTGTCATGGCAACAGATCTGCTAGGTCAAACCTGATCGGGAGCAGGTTCAAATCATATAAACAGGATTAGATCGGCTCAGTTCAAGCAAAGATAATACAGAAAGTATGTTCCCAATTCTGATATTTTCTTACAATAAAAGTTATATACACTTGGGAAAATAGTAAATATTTTTTAACTATATATATATATACAAAAGTTATAGTCATTAATAAAATAAATAAAGTTATACATATTAATAAAACTTATGCAATCTGCACCCGCGAAATGAAAATACAAAGACTGCCACCTGGTGGTGCAAAGAGAAAACTTATTGATATGAACTTTTTAGATCGCTTTAGTACAAATTGTGTATAATAGAAATGCACAATATGTGTCTTTTTTTAAAAGCAATAATACATTTATGCAGTCATAAACATGTTTTGACAGTTAATATGCCAGTGATGCTTCACAAAAGTTGCAGACGCCTTTACCAATATCAAAATGCTTTTGGAAACAACCAGTTATTCTTTACACCGATTAAAAAACGGTTACTATAATAAAGGAAATCTTTTCTAAATGAAGAACTAAATACATTGATTTGCATTGAAATACATGATGAATACTCTTGTCTTGACAAATGAAAGTGTAAAGCCTGCAGCTCACAACAAATGTGAAGTTACTGCGTGTCATATTTAAAAAGCCGTTTACTGGTAATTTGATGTAATTTTGCTCACATGGATAATTGAATATTAATCAGATGATGTCATTACGCTGCTGTGCCGTCAGCCAATCGTTGCATTGCTGATCATGATTTCGAGGATCGATAGATCTGTCCTTAACAACAAACGCAGCGATCTCAGATCAGTTCATCCAGATATTCTAATCTGATTCGCGAACTTGTTTGGAGAACCAAATTAGCGAGAGATCAGTTATCAAGATTAAAAGATCCAGGATCTGCCAAATCATCTTAGATCATTTAAGCGAGGTACGAAGAACGGACCCCTGGTGTCTGTATAAGCTGTTATGTTTTTATACATGAACAGTTGCTCTGCTGCATTAATATA